TCTCTCTCTCTCTCTCTCTCTCTCTCTCTCTCTCTCTCAACCTTAACTGTCATTACAGTTAGAAACGGGAAGTGTCCATCACCTCCTCACGACACCAGCTTACAAGGGCCACTAATCAATCTATCACATCAACAACATATATATACATATGTAAACCCTATCGAGCGGGTATGAGTCGTCCTGTCTTGTCCTAAACCCTCACTTCAGTAGGCACTCGCTCTTAAAGGACGACGCCTCTGCCATTTCCCGCTTTTTCCCGCTTTTTCCCGCTTTTTCCCGCGCTTTCTAGTGCTTTCCCGCGCCAAACCATCATCACCATCATCGGCATCACAAATCACCGTCTCTTAATCGCCCAACCAAGCGCGCACTCTAATAAACCCCTCGTGCCACCGCCAGATGCATGTACCAAATAAGCGATGCAACTTGTGCATATGCCAACGGGTTATGATTGCGACATAACATAACGTTTGTGCATCGACGTGCGTGCGGTAAGCGAGAGAGAATAAAACACAATCGGGAACAGACTCCACTTCTCCTTTGAAACACCACGTCAGCTCACCTACTCCGTCCAACAATCCCTCTGGAGAGAGCAGATCTTCGACGATCTTCTCTCTCTCTCTCTCTCTCTCTCTCTCTCTCTCTCTCTCTCTCTCTCTCTCTCTCTCTCTGTCTGTGAGAACAAAATACACCCAGCAACACTGTACGTGAGCTAAGCGAGAGACAATAAAACACACCGTGTGTGTGTATGTGTGTGTGTATGTGTGTGTGTATGTGTGTGTGTATGTGTGTGTGTGCGAGCGAGAGAGTAAAATACAACCCGGCACAGACTCCACTTCTCCGTGAAACTCGTCGACTCACCTCCTCCGTCTAAGAATCCCTCTGGCAAGAACAGATCTTCGCCTATCCTCTCTCTCTCTCTCTCTCTCTCTCTCTCTCTCTCTCTCTCTCTCTCTCTCTCTCTCTCTGTGTATGTGTGTGTGTGTGTGTGTGTGTGTGTGTGTGTGTGTGTGTGTGTGTGGTGTTGCGTGGGGTTTTAATCCGTAGCCTCCCTTCTCATTGAAGCTCCTCTGGTGAGAGAAAAACTTCGACAATTCTTTGTCGCTTTCTCTGGCCGCCGTCCCTCTTTCTTCCGTGGTCTTCTCTTCGCTCGTTCGTTGGCCCGGGGGAGGGGGAAAGGGGGGGGAGAGAGGGGAGAGGGGGGGAGGGGGGGCTTTAACCTCTCGTGTCGCTCTTCATTCGAGCAACCTTAGACCGATCAATCGACCATCAATCAATCAATCATCAATCGACCATCAATCAATCATCAATCGACCATCAATCAATCAATCATCAACCATGGACTCTTCAAGCCATTGGTTTTCGTTCCACCTCCCCTTTGTCAAGGCAGCATAGCCTCTCTGCTGCAAGCTACGTCAAAGCACAGCGCCGTGCCCTTCCCCTCTTCCCATTCCCATTCCCTCCCTCCCATCGTTCCTCCCCGCTGCGCTACATCCCATCAACAAACCCTAATCTCTTCAATAATCAAGTGACAACCTTTGCGATCTCGATCAATGCGACACCTGCCAACCTCTCGTCCTCTTCGCTCATCTTCACTATCTTCACTCTCTCTACCGATTCGCGCATGATATCCCCCGACTCCCCTCCGCCCCCCCCCCTCCTCCTCTTAACACCTCTCCACCACCCTACCCTCTTGCCGCCTTTCGACAAGCTAGGCAAGGCCTCAAGGCCCCGACAACCGTCGTCCCTCCCCCGAATACAACAACGCACCCCCAGATACCACTGTTATCGGACTCGAATACAACGCACCCCCAAACGGCTGTACAAGTTTCCTGATCGGGATGCGTTGTGATCGGGATCGTACAAGACGGTAAACGATCCCAACTCACTCTAATCACTGCTCAAGGGTGACGTCAACAACAAAACTCACCAAATGCGAAAACGACACAAAAACTATGCCGGGTGTATATTTATATTTATATTTCCCCCCCATTGTAGCGGAAGAGGTCAAAAAAAAAAAAAAAAAAAAAAAGAGTTCAAGTCAACCTCAAGTTTGCACATTGATCTGGTGAGTGGAGCGGGGGGAGGCGCCAAGCCTCAACTACCACCTCCTCACTCACTCCTCACACAATTCAAGCACATCCGACCTCCAGACGGGAGGAGAGATCTGTAGGGATCAGATCGTCGATATCCACGGCGATTACAAAAAGTGAAAAAGGGAAGCACTTTTTTTTTTATATCGTTCCCTTTCTCTCTTTACCGATCGCTTACTGCAGTCTTTAGGGCCTTTCGCTCCACTACTCTCGACATGCACAAACGACAAAAATCATGGCGTCGTATCTTTCCATGTTCTAGCCGAAGATTCACTCTCATTTCATTGGGCCTCGCTGCACTACTCTTGAAATGCACAAAAAAGACAAAAATCATGTCGTTGTATCTTTTCCATGTTCTAGCGGAAGATTCACTCTCATTTTGCACCTTTCAAGAGTAGTGCAGCGAGGCCCATTGTTTTGCTCATATTCCAGAGTCGTAGTAGTGGAGCGAGGCCCTTATTCTATACCCCTAATCGATCTAGGCTATACTTTTTTTTTTTTTTTTCATTTCTCTAGGCTATACTTGGCTGGCCCGGCTGTGCACCCGAGAGTAAAGCCACAACTTTCGATCTCGTTCCCCTCTCTCTCCCCTCTCTCTCTCTGTGCATCCGATATTCTCATCAGGCGGTCAGCATCCGATTTTCTCATCAGGCGCTCTACTATGATGTCTGTATTCGTAGATCGCCTGTGGATCCGACGACTGGCACCTGCCATCTTCCTCCGCAAAGATCGCATGGTCAAATTCATGATCTGCAGTTTGAATTGCATTTTTCGGCCCCCAAGCACGTCGATAACGACTACGCAGTTGTCATTTAACGACAACCATCAATTTTGACGAAGGCCCGTCGTAAGCAGAGACCAACAAGTACAACAACGACGCAGAGAGAGAGAGAGAGAGAGAGAGAGAGAGAGAGAGAGAGAGAGAGAGCAATCCTGGACGTCTAGATCGCTCTCCCAACGCGCGAGACACAGAGAGCCTACTTGATTCCTGGATCGGTCTCGAACGCACGCAAGAGAGAGAGAGAGAGAGAGAGAGAGAGAGAGAGAGAGAGAGAGAGAGAGAGAGAGAGAGAGAGAGAGAGAGAGAGAGAGATCAGCACGTCGAGGTCTGAATCGCTGGCGAAGGCTCTACAAATTAAACACAGAGAGAACCGGAGAGTGTGTGTGTGTGTGTGAGAGAGAGAGAGGTAGATCATCAGAAAGAGAGAGAGAGCATCCTTCAGGTCTGGATCGATCTCGAGCGAAGGCTCTGCAAATTAAACACAGAGAGAGAGAGAGAGAGAGAGAGAGAGAGAGAGAGAGAGAGAGAGCGGCGATGATCCCGCACGCCCAGACGCGCTAATCACCACATGACTGCAGTGAAGCAGCGATTGCACATCAAAGAGAGTCAACCAGAGAAAAAAGCAGGGAGCAGATAGGAGATAAAAAGAGAGAAGGGAAGAAGAAGAATCCGTGATTGAGGGGAAAAAATATGCACGGTACATAAGGATAACCCGACACTACCAGCGCCTCGGTCGAGAAGATCGACGATCCCAAGACCAGGGTAAAGGGGCTGGTTAGACGGCGGTAGAAGTCTTTCCTAACACCTCTCTCCTCCCCTGGTCGGACCAACAGTAATCACTAACTGTTCTCCTCATCAGCTTCGCTACTCCCTCTTCAACTCCCCGTTCCCAATCCGCCACTAGCTATCATGACGGTGCAAAGAAAAGAAAAGACTCTCTCTCTCTCTCTCTCTCTCTCTCTCTCTCTCTCTCTCTCTCTC